TGGTAGGATTTTGATACTCAGTTGGATATGAGTTAGGAGAATTTAAATTGTTCAAAATCAGGAGATAACTAATTGGAAGAGTTGAGGAAGATACAGAATCTATAGAGCTGTGACATCTAAAATATCAGCCATAATCTGATGGTACCTTCAGGCGATACCCTTTCTGTAATCATCTCAGCAAATGATCACTTCCTCACTTCTTACTGTCGTAGGCTAAGTTTCTATATTTCTCCCCTCACTCCTATTTAAATAAAGCAGAATGGTTTTGCAGTCTGCATTACTTCTAGTGTAATAGGCTGCATGTGTCTCAAAAATTCTATATTAGTTGAAACCAAAGAAACAATAAGTGATGCACTTAAGGTTTTATGTGTGAAAACATTTATATATTATTTTTATGATAAAATGGGAAATGATTAAATGGCTCTCAAAACAATAATTTGTTTGACAAATTAGGATATCTATTTGCTCGATGGCAAAGTTAGGGAAAGCCTGGGCTGTTGGAATAAAGGGATTTATAAGTGATCCCATGTATTTATTTACTTTACATCCCAATCACAGCTTTCCCTCCCTCTTCTCCCAGCCTCTCCCTCTCCCATTCCTTCCCCCATCATGGCCTCCCTTTCTCCTCAGAGACAGAGAGGTCTCCCATGGATAGTGGCCCTCCTTGGCATATCAAGTTGGAATAGGAGTAGGTGCATCTTCTCCTATTGAGGCTAGACAAAGCAGTCCTGTTTGGGGAAAGGGATCCGAAGGCAGGCAACAGAGTTAGAGACAGCCCTGCTCCTGCTGTTAGGGATCCCATGTGAAGACCAAGCTGCATTTCTGTTACATTTAAGTCTCTGTGAGCCTTGAATTCTGCCTAACATTTGGCTGTGGGTCGCTGCATCTCTTCCCATCAGCTTCTGGGTAAAACCTCTCAGATGACAATTGTGCTAGGCTCCTGTTTAGCAAATATCATCATATTATATATCATTATCCTGTATAGCAAAATATCATTAATAGTGTCAGGGGTGGGCTCACTCTCATGGCATGGGTTTAAGGTTGGGCCAGTCATTGGTTGGCCCTTCCCTCAATTTCTGCTCCATCTTTATCTCTATACGTCTTATAGGCAGGGTCAAGTGTTTTTTTTTTTTTTTTTAATTTGAGACAGGGTTTCTCTATGTAGCCTTGCCTGTCTTGGACTTGCTTTAGTAGACCAGATTGACCTCATACTCAGAGATCTGCCTGCCTCTGCCTTATTGAGTGCTGGGCTTATAGTCAGATGCCATTGTGCCCAGTGGGTTGAAGGTTTTGTGGGTGAGTTTGTGTCCCCTTTCCTCCATTACATGTCTTACCTGGCTACAAGTGGTAGTTGTTTCAGGTTCCATATTCCCTATTGCTAGTAGTCTTAGCTAGAGTCACCCTCATTGATTCCTGAGAGGTTTCCCTTGCCCCACTCGTCAATACCAGTTCTGTATCTCAGTTCTCTCTCCCTTTGCCCTCCCATACTTATCCCACCTGTTCCAACCCCCACTCCCCACCCTGTTTCTTCTCTCCATACCTCCCATTTGCATCCCCACCCCTGTACTATTTTTATTCCTTTCTAAGTGAGAGTCAAGCATCCTCTCTTTGGCCCTCCTTGTTACTGAGCTTCTTTGGGTCTGTGGGTTGTAGCGTGGTTATCCTGTACCATATGGCTTATAAAGTGAGTACATGCCATGTGTGTCTTTCTGAGTCCGGGTTACCTCACTCAGAGTAACCTTTTCTGTTCCATCTATTTATCTGCAAATTTCATGATGTCCTTTTAAAATACTCGAGTAGTACTACATTGTGAATATGTGCCACATTTTATCCATTCTTTGTTTGAGGGTTGTTTCTAGTTTCTGGCTATTACAAATAAAGCTACTGTGAACATAGTTGAGCAAGGGTCCTTGTGGTATAGCTGGGTCTTGAGGTAGAACTATTCTCAATTTTCTGAGAAACCACCAAGTTGATTTCTAAAATGGTTGTACAAGTTTGTACTCTCACCAGCAATGGAGGAGTGTTCCTCTTGCTCCGCATAACCACCAGTATGTTTTGTCACTTGAGTTTTTGATCTTAGCCACTCTGATAAGTGTGAAGTAGAATCTCTTACCTGACTCACCACTTTGAAGGGATGCCTGACCAGGAAGCTGTGAGCTGGAACCGTGTTTGGCTTTTCTATGCCCTCTGTTTTTTTATATGTAGCTTTCAGGTATTCTATTACTTCTATTGTGTATGTTTGAAGCCCCTCCTCTTTCTCTATTGGAATTGAGTCTGTTTTCTTATTTTACTTCTTTCCTTCACTGGCTCAAACAGAGGAAAACTGTAGCCTCCATTTAAGCCAGAAGTGTCATCCATGTTTAAAATCACTGCTGTGGAATTCTTTGCTCCATCCTTAGCTTCATAAGGTCTTTGTAGTCTCCATTTAAATACTTTTGAAGAGACACTGTAGTGGAGAAGATGGCACATTCTCAAGGCGTGAGAATGTCCAAGGGGACAGTGTAATGCAGTGCATCCTCTCAAGGCCTGAGAGCGGACAATTGTCAGACAGTGTGTATTTTAAGTGGCAAACATGACAATCTCTAGAGAATTTATCACTTTAGGCATATTTTATATTTTCAAATTTCAGTGATTGTTTTTAAAATCACTAAATAGACAACTTTCTCCTGGGGGCATTTTCCCATCCAGGTGATTGACAAGTCCATTTGGATTGTTCCTTACAAGGATGAGGGGAGGAGGGAAGGAATAGACACATCCTTGGGCTTTATTGTTATTGTTGTTGTTTTTTTTTTATCTTTTATTGTTTTTTTAACCACAAAACCTCGTGATTCACAGTGATCTTGTTAGGTGTAGGGCTTTTAGAACCAAATTTAGATGCTTATTAATTTATGCCATTCTGAGCAGCTCAAAATGTCATATTTTCTCAAATAGCCGGAGATAGGACTCAAGTTCCATGCCTCTGATCAGTACTTAAGAGTCCTGCAGTTTCAGTCATTGGTTTGATAAGCTATTGCTTATGAAGGAGAGGTTCAGCATCAGTGTCCTGAGGTCCTGCCAATATCTAGCAACTTAATGTAGCACGGCAAATATAGTAGTGCATACAAAACACTCCATGTGGAAGCAGGGGCTTAATTTATGGACCTATGTTTTAAAAGTAGAGAATAGCTTATAAGTCCATTTTGTCACATCCCAAATACAAATAAATTTTGTTTTCTTTATGAATATCTTGCTAATTTAATACCCATAGGAGTTCTGACATTTTAGGAGCCTTTTGTAATATTTATTGTAGTCCAGTAAACTTTAGCTGGGAACCAGGATTTTTAAATTTAAAGGTCCTAAGAGCAGTAATGATAGGATGCAGAACTCATAGCCTTGCTGTGTGAGGAATCTTAATTGCATTGACCTATGGACATGTGTTTGTGGCCGTTTTGTTTATTGATGACTGATGTGGGAGGGCCCAGCCCACTGTGGGTGGTGCCACTCCCGGAGAGGGAGCCTAAGTTGTTTAAGAAAAGTAGATGAACAAGCCAGAGAAAGCAAGCCTTCATCAGTATTCCATCATGGCCTCTGCTTCAGTTCCTGGCCGTTAGGATCCTACTTTAAGTTCCTGCCTTGACCTTTCCTGGTGTGGGCTGTAAGCACAAGAAACAAAACCTTTCACCTTCGTGATTGTTTTCAGTCCTGGTCTTTATCACAGCAGGAGAGAACCACACTAGGACAGCCCCAAAGACAATTAGGTAATTTAGGTGCTTCAAAGCCTATCACTTCTTATCTTCCAAATACACTAAAATTACATGCTCATCAGGAAGTGTTTTATTGAATGGATAGCATTATAATTTTCCATAAAAGTCATGCAATTTCATAAATATTTACATTTGAGTTTATAAATGTTTTAAAATATGATTAAATTATTTTTATATAGTCTTTATGTATTTGAAGACATTTATCCATATTTCTTTGTTAAACAGGTTGACTTTGTCTTAAAATAAGTGACAATTCAAATTAGTAGTATTTACCTCAAGTATATAACAGTGTGTCAGGTTTTATAACAGCTTGCTGGCTCTGTGTATTGGGTGCCACTATTTTTCTTGCATAGTAACATTGTCTTATAGAGCGAAAAGTTAAATCCAATGTGGTAAGGAAAGAACATTTTTACAAATTTAGATCTTCCCAGGGTGGGGCATCTTTTTAGACATAGCAGAGCTGAAATTAAATGGTCAAATAAATATGTTTTGAAAGATTCCCTTAAATAGCTGGAAAAAGTAGAAGTGATATCCTTCACTATGGAATATGTTTTCTCTGTTGTTGCACATATCTTTTCATTATGAATATAATAGAACATACTTTTTTCAAATGATATTATAATGAAATTGATAGTGTTAATTTTTTTTTTAATGACCATATATACTGCCCGAAGTTGTTCAAAAATCCTAACTGACCACTGGTATAGACAGTGCATTTATACTGAAAGTAGAGTATAAATAGAGAATAACTCACACCCTTGGTACTTACACATATTTGAGATTTTCCTTTGTAACCCTGTGACTCATGCTGGCTCTTATAGGTGTTGTGCTTAGAAAGCAGTTGGTTAGTATTGGGGGAGAAGGTTCAGTGAGTAGTAGCTCTTGCCATTCCAACATGAAGACCTAAGTTTGGCACCCAGAACCCGCATCAATAGCCAAATGTGTCTGAGTACCTATAAGCCCAGGGCACCTATGGGAAGACGGATGTGTCTGAGTGCCTATTAGCCCAGTGCGCGTATGGGAAGATGGAAGCAGAGATAAGAATATGCAGATGCTGTCGTCAGGGAGAGGGGACCCTGTTTCAAAACAGTGTGGAAGGTGTGGACAGATGCCTAAGGTGGCCCTGTGACCTCTACACTTGCACCATGACATGACACACCAATGCTCTCCTCAACATGAACCCACAGACGCATAGACACAAAAAGTTGTTGATTAAATTAGGACTATTACTGTTAATATGTATCTCTTTTGTTACAGAAGAAAATACGCAGGAAGCACCACAGATGAAGAGAAGCTTGAGTGAAAAGGTTTCTCTCTACAGAGGTGACATCACACTGCTAGAGGTGGATGCAATAGTCAATGCGGGTGAGTGGTTCGCTTTCTGTCTTATTTGCTGTGCCTTTACAATTTTAAAACATTTCCTATATTGACTTGGTGTAGAAAGGCCTTGTATCTTTTTCTTCGTGGTAAAAGACATTGAGGATTTATTTTCTGTATCCAATGAAGAGGATGGGATGATAGGAGGAGTAAAAAAACTGTTGTAAAAAGTTCTTCAGGACGAATTTCAGTAGTTAAGTGATTACTGGCTTCATGCTTGAGTTAAGGAGAAGCAATGGTTCAGCACGCTTTTCCTTTCTTTTGTATAAATCATAAGTATTCAGTTAGATTATGTCAGCCAAAAGAAAAATGTGCAGAAATTATTTCTTTGATTTCAAAATCTCACTTGTGTGTAAGTTTTCATTTTTATTATAAAATGCATTTCACTGGCATGTTTTAATGTATAATTTTCTTCTTAGAATATTGAAGGAAATATGATAGCATGTTATTTATGTTGTTCTTGTCTCCTATATATTTCTTGTATAATTATATATAAAAGGGATGTAACATTTGTGTTTCTCTACAGGTAAATATTAATAAAATGATATGTGCTTTAGAAAGCTAATCCCCTTGTAGGTTGAAATTGTCAAACAACAGTAGGTCTAGACTTAGGTGAAGGCAGCCTTTAACCTCTGGGCTCATCAAGGAAAGGGGATGGTGGCCATGGATTGCTGAGGAGAGTTGCAGTGGAGGAGCTATTTGACTCAGGGGATCTTTTAAGTATCTAAAAGGTCAAGCAGAAAAGGACTTTTCATTTACTGGAAGATGTAAACGCTTATAGAAGGAGTGGCTGTGGGGAATTGAATGAAGACATTATTCAGGTGGCTCCCTGGAGGAGCCATTAGAGCGGTGGGTTTTTCATTAATCATGGTGGCTCAAAATACAGCAGTTTAGAACCAGGAGAGAAGATGGAGTTGAGGTTATTGAATCTACCGCCTGGGCTGGACCAGCTGGAAGGGGAAATGGAGACAGAGAGTGCATGACTGAGACAGCAGAATGGGAGTGTAGACGGGTCCAGACTCAGCAGAAGCTCTACGGTGGCCACCTGTGGGTTTCTGTGAGCTGAGAAGAAGAGTGCTGGCTTAGAGTTAGCCACCTCTCAGAACACAGCGAATGTTGTTTTCCAGAAGTGCAGGGTGTAGGGAAGGTGATTTACACAGTCAGTTCTCAGGTGACTTGCTCAGTCTGCACAGGGCAACAGGAAAATTCTTGGAGATGACAGAGGAAGAACATGGCAGAGTTCTTGAGGTCTAGCAGGAAGACTGGCAGGCCAGTGAGCTTGTTCACCGTTCAGAGATGGATGTCAGTTCCTTGTAAAAGGACCAGTTCTGCCATAGTCAGGCACGGTTTTCTTTCAATGGCCCTTTGCTTCTGTTCTCCTCTGATGCCTATGTCACCTTTTTGAGATGCCATTTCCTGTCAAAAAGGAGTGCAGATTGTTGCACCTGTACCCAATCTGGCTGTCTTCTTTTGGCTTGATTTCTATCCTTCAGTCATCTTAAAGGCTCAGATGTTCCTTATATGTAGCCCAGGATGTTTATTTTTTTTTATTTTTATTTTTTCCCTCTAGTATATGGGGCCTGTGAAGAATTCAGGGTCTTGGAAAATACCTCATGAACACTTAGGCACAGAGTTTTAGTTCAATATCCCTGTGGTTAGTAACTGATCAATGGTTTATTATGCCAGAATTTTTATGAATGTATAAACTTTAATTCTAAAATACTTAAGATTTGAAAGTTTTTATAAAAGTACCACCAATGCTTTAATATGTTTTTGAAATTTTTAGCCAATGATTCTAGTTGCTTCTTTTTCTTCTTGTTAACATAATATTGCATTTACTTTGTTCACTTGACAGTAACAATGACTTTTCTTGGGTTCTGTTAGCTGTGTACTTATGTTCTTCCCCAAGAAGCACACAATGGTACTTTCTCTCTTTATTGTTTCACCACCCAAAGCAATGTCTTGACTTCATGCTTTTAAGAACTATTCAAACTGTGTATGTGTTAAACTGACTTCATGCAGTTGAATATCACATCTCTAATAACATATTCTGCACTGAGGACTCAATACAGTGAGGCAGGTTGGCTCTGGTTTTAAAAATCATTTGTTTAATCAATCAATAAAAATATTTATGAGTAATTTTTGTTGACATAAAATATTGTTAATTAGTAAAAAACATTATTAGCTCACTCTTTTGCTTCTCGTCCACTGTCCTTTCTTTGTATGTGTAGTTTTCTCATAGATGTTGCAGAGGGTCCATGACTATGCTGACTTAATGTGAAGATAGGAATCACCTTCAGTACCTTCTAGCTCTCTGGCTGTGATGCATGTAATTTGGATGGGCTCACAAGGGCTGGCTCATCAGGTAGTTTCTGGGTGGATGGGAAAGAAAATACCAAATGTACAGGTAACGGCTCTATTTGCAGCTCTCTGTTGTGCAGCTTGTTGGCCTGGTATGAACAGAAAGGCACAGCTGTTAGCTTTCAGGTACACAAGGCAATGTGACAGAAAACTCCAGAGCCGTCTCCAGCAAGAGGCAGTGCTCACAGTCAGGTGGCAGAGCTGTCCCGCTGTCACTTTCTGCCAGACTGCCAAGGTTCTTCCATGACCACGTTAGTGTATTGAAAGAACTGATCTTTATAGTTGAATGGGAAGGTTTGATACTTTACACTTCTTAGTTAACATCTTGTTGAACTCTCTTAACCCTTCTTAAATGTTCCCTGAGATAGGCCCCCTTTATTCTTAACCCTTCTTAAATGT